GATGGACGTTGTTTATGAATATATTCATTTTAAACCCCATTGCTCTGATGAAAAAAAAGAAACTAGTCATAAAATATTATGGCAAAAAAATCCACATCAAGACAAATACCTTACAAAGAGTTTGCGATAAACTTTTTGTATTGTTATCAGTAAGGATTTTTAAGTCTGGATGTATGAAAACATCACTTAAACTGTTGTCTAACAAAGTAGTGTCGAGTAGTGTTAGAAAAGGCATTGTGTCATATGTATGACTTTCATTTAGCCTATGCTTCTGCTGTAGAAAAATGCCAACAACTTGTAAACATGAAGAACAGTTTTAGTTAAGTAATATTGTCGCGTTTGAAATACGCTCAGAGGAAATTAATACAATGTAATGCGAACACTGTGGACACCCATGTTGTGTCGATATATTTACCTGCGATTACGTCACCTTTGAGGCGTGCTCAAGGATAATGCATTTGCATCATTGATTTATATGTGATAATTTTAATTATATTGGTAACATGAAAGTTTATTTCCTATATCAATCCATAGGGGTTTATGATTTCGACATTGAGCAGGACCATTACAACATCAAATACTAATTGCAAATTCTAAAATATAATTCCTTCAGGTTCAAAGAGTTTATATATATATGTATGTGGCAGGACTCTACATAAAGTTGAAAGGTTGTGAACGTGGTCATTAACTGATCCATGGACTTTTATACAAGGTAAGTGAAATATATTTAAGGACTTATAGCAATTTTTACTTGTCATAAATAAAAAATATAGTTATCTTATTAGTTTGTGCGTTTGCCCCTTTCGTTTAATTTGTTGTCATTTTGTATTGCCTGTAGGCTATATCATCATGTGAATGATTAGCAAACCTCGAACGCTTGTGCGTGTCGGACGCCATCTTTTTTGTTATGGAGCGAGATTCTAGTTTTAGTTATCTCCCCTCGCATGTGCTTTTATAGACCCCGGCAGAACGCCTGGCAAAAACAATGTTACACATTAGAATGGTGAAAATATTTGTAGTTAGACAGTAATGGGTACAGGACACAGAGCAAAGGGCACAGGCTACAGCATAAACTATACAGGTTACAGCGTAGTATGTACATGGTATACGAACGGGATACATGATAAGGGTATGGGGTAGGAAATACGGGGTATATGTACAAGGTATGGAGTTCGGGGTACTGTGTATAGGGTAAAGGGTTTGGTTTAATAGGGTTAAACGTCCCATTAACAATTAGGGACGTTCCTGTCTGTATGTGTGCCCCCCCCCCTCCCTTTTTTTAGTAGACAAAGGAGTAAAACCCCGATTACGCATGGTGTCTTACATAAGACGCCAGGCCAATTCTTTTCCGAACTTACAGGATATAGGATACTGTTTACATGATACAGGACAATAGAATCAGAGAAATATGCAAGGGTCCAAAACTCTCATACTTGCCCAATACAATTGTAATGATAACGTTTAATTCACCCCTGCTTTCTAATATCGGAATTTCAGATGGCCGTATGAAAAAAAGGGTTTTATTATGACAGCGGTCGGTATACATGAATGCACTACCATGTGGTCCTTTAATGGGATACCGGCTCTCTATGCAAAGAATGCAAGGGGTCAAATGATCGTTAGAAGTATTTTCCGAGGTGCAAATAGTGAAAATAAATACTGAAAGGCCGAGATAAATGAGCATAGTATTGTTTTGATACGACATAGTGTCTTTTTAGTTACATGCACGTAGACCCGGAAACACATGTGATGCGATAATGAAATATCAATCATGTAAGGTAAACATCAACAGACGATCTTAGGGATGTGTTGCTGCGACCTCTGCAATGTCGAATATGATGCTATTGAGGCCAAAATTTCATAGTGCATCCAAATAGAACAGGGCTATCTACTGACTCTTGCTTATGTGTTTTACTTCCTAAAATGATATTTTTCGCTTTGGTTTGAAAGGATATTGACAGTTCACACGTGTGTTTGCCACGTATTTGGGCCAACATATTGGGAATTACAGTGATATTTCTATATTTACATCTTTTTTCCCTTTGGAAAAAAATCTGTTGTAAATTTTTAAATGTCAAGAGTGAACAAAAATGTTTGAACAAAGATAAGGTCGCAGTGAAATGCCGATGTATATAATCCAAAACAATATTTCATTATTTTTTAATATTTTTTTTGTATTTTACACACATGAACACAACTTTTATTTCCGTGCAGTGTTTTTATGTTTCTGTCATAATAGCAGTATGCTAAGCTTCATCATTTGCTTTAAGTTTCGCATCATTGAAGACGTTGTCCTCTCAGTGTTAAAGTCTCTTTGGGTCCAGTGACATTTTTCTACGTTTCCCTCTCCTTTTTTGATCGTATAATAAATCGTTCAGATAGCAGCATTAAGATAAATCAAGTGAATAGCTACGAACAAAGAACATGGAAGACGTAATGATAAATTTGAAATACCCCAGACTGTCATTATATCGCTGTCCGGGCCGTTATTTTTCCCTCAGCCGTTTGTTTCCACGGCAGCTAACAATCTCGACAGTTAAAAATCCAACAAAAAATACCACCATGTCATTAAGATAGCGATTCGAACTCAAATTTAATAAAGTACGAGGGGAATAAGACCAAATGTCCATGAAGGGTAAACGTCTCCGCTTCATCAATGGCACTTGCCATATAAGGCAAGGTTAAATTCAAGTGATATATAATCATCATAGTGATAACTGATTAAATATTATATGATAATAATGATACTTAGAGGTTCTTATATACCACTTTATCGCAACCTATAAGCTAGTTCTTAGGTCGTCTCAATGCGGTTCACAAATTATTTTCCGTGGTTAATATGGCCTTTTCAATCAGTCAATATCTTTCGCAACTCTCGGAGGAGCATACAGCCAGTGCTGCCATTTCGGTGCTCACATTCAATAATTCTAGCACTGTCCAACCTCGTACTCATTTACAGCTGAGTAGACTGGAACAAGCGGAGTAAAGTGATACAACACAGTACCGTGACGTGACTCGAACCCGCAACCTTTCTATCACGAGCCCGGTGTCCTACCACTAGACTGCCGTGTCTCCAAAAGTGACAACTTAACAACAAGGCCAACTAAACAGCATAATTGAAAACATTGTCCTTCGAAATAGTATGCTTCCCAACGGGATCATGATGGCAACCATATAACAAACCTCTAAATGCCAAGGAGTACGCACATATAGGTGCTCTGCACCCCTGACTTATATTATGAGGGAATCGAAGGCTCTGCATGCGCCTCCTTCAGGTTGATACAAGTAGAATTGTTTAGTCCTTTAATTTTCATGAACAGCATCGCAGACCAGGGTAACGGTAGTATTGACTAGATTTGAAGTTAATTGTCGCTCCTCTGTAATCGTAAAGGTTAGATTTTTTTAGCTAAGCGACGGTCAGTTGTTTGAATCTGAAACCAAATAAATAGCTACCAGTGTGTCTTTAATTTATTATGATTTATTCAGGAGTAAAGATACCATTCGTTATTGTTTCCCATCGAATTTAGAGTGTGGCTCATTGTCTTTATCAGCCTTCTTCTTTGGAATTCCTGTGTAGTTAGGTAGTCCGTCATCAGACGATTTCTATCACGGAAATTATGTTACTCGGGTAGCCAGCCGTCTCTGTTTGTCATAGTGTAAATTGAGAGCTAGAAGAGCCGCTGAAAGAGAAGGACTGTAGTGCATCCCTAATATGAAGTTCAGGAGGGTAAACAGATCGACGTAACCAATTTGTTTTTCTATATACATGAAAGTGAAGATGAAAGACTGTTACTGAAACTTTCTCGCCGAAATGAGCCAGCATGATATGAGAAAAGGTCAGATCTTGTACTGAATTGACCTTGTTGTTGTAGAATGTGACACATTTCTTTTTTCCCAATATAGTTTGAATATATTCTTATCATAATTGGGTTGCATTTTTGAAAGATAATGTATCACCGCCATCTATCAATGAATCGGCGGAGATCTGTTCTATTCATCGGTTAATAAATATCATTGAATATCAATGATATATGGTGACACCAATGTTATACTGATATAAAACATATATTAATATCCTAAAGTCCTCTGTAAATACAGATATTGTCATCTAAATATTTTTTGTTATTGCCAAATATCAAGCAAAACTTTGGTTAATTGTTTTTTGATAAGCTCTAGACAAGGTCATTTTATGTCTTTTGTTTAAGTCATAGTATGTGTACATGTGTCAATGTGGTATATTGATGCCTCTAGATTGGCAATAATCTGTTTAAAGCTTCGTTTCAGTAGATAATTAAATTCTTTTTACACGTTTTACTCATGATTTTTATTCACCTTACAAGATGTAATGTAAATTGTTTTCATAACAGGGAATATCTTATATTATTAAGTTTTCACCGTTATGCAAGGTCAGCTCCAGTCTTCTATCTTCTGGTCGTAGTAAAATAGGAACAAATTGCATACTCACATGAATATCCTTGCAAAGGTACTAGATTGTAATATTGTAATTCTGTATTTGTACATATGTTTCGGAACGTTGCATTCATTTACTTGCATTCTGTTGACTTTTGAAATCATTTGTAAGTCCTAAATGGCTGTAAGGTGCGGAACATCTCTTCGTCTTACAAAGTATTTTCTTGAAGTGAAGTTAATAATACTCAATTATCGATGGATATATCCCTGTACACATACGATACACTGCAAAGGGTCGCAATAATAGGAGAGGTAATCAGGGGAGAATATTCATGCAAAAAAAAGTATCGTTAATTTGATATTTCAGTACAAAAGTGTCGGTGATTGAACTATAGCTTATACCATTCAGTATGTTCCAATGAATAAAAATAGGTGATATTCTTTGTTGAAGAAATTCAGGAGTTGTACGATGCCCTGGTATTTCTGTCCATTACCTGAAGGCTGACACCATGGTTACCATCGCTATATGTCTCTAAGATAGAAAGAGCCCTCGTAAGTAACATATGTCAAGAACGCAAAGACTACTAGCATACATGTTATTTGATTTTAATATTGATTTCATATTGATCCACCAACGTTAAACATTCACTCGACTTGTATTCAATGTAGGTTTTATTATCCTTAATTATTGTTTTCTATTCAAACATTGTTGAATTTATCTCAACAAATATTAACGAAATAAGTATGAAATGTCTCAATTAAGTATCAAAATGTCACAATTGAGAATATACAATCACAACTGATTTGGTCAGAACAAAACATCTAATTATGCAAGGTAACAAAGTTAATTAGTTCACATAACAATGTTAACTGCTTATGAACATATTTCTTGGCGACCTTATACATTTTGTTCCATATTGCACCGTTTTATGAAGTATTGATAACACACCGCTGAAGTCTATTCAAATCGGAAATGAAAACTGTTATTTGCCATCTTCTCCTCATATACTTTGTTAAAATATTCATTTTGCGCAACCGTGAAGTGATTTTTCCAGTCGCCTATTTCTCCTGTAACAAAAACAAAAACCTTTTGTGATAATATAAAAACAATGATATTATGAAGTTCTCTCGTATAGATTTTGAAAATGTTAGTGGTGGCAAATGCTGTTATCAGCTCCAATATACAATGTACATCTTCCATACAGAATATTAACACGAAAGAGTAGTGTTAGTGTTGTCAAATAATTGGTCAGTGGTTAGGGAAATGAAACAATAGCGAGGACAGGGAACTTTGTATTTTCTTAAAGAAGTTTTTGTGTAAAGACGAGTTCCTTCTATTAAGATCATTATTCATACCCTCTACCTACGTATATACTAGTACTTCAAAGGCAACATTTCAAAGTAGAAATATACCAGTTTTTCACCTGTAGATACCTTTCTGATAGACCTGTATCGTTATGGCAATAACAGTACGCATGTATTTACAATAATGTTTATCTTTCCAGGAGAAATTCATTCCTTAGTTTTGCGTATCTCTCAGTGAGTAGCAATACATAAGCGATTCGTTCCATGTATCTTTCAGTGTAAATATAGCTTAGTTAGATGATTCTTTTCAATGGCAATACAACTGCATTAGTGTTCCCCTCTAGCACTTTTTAGTACAAGTAAACAAATTGTGCCTTCAACCTTCCGTTTTCTGTAAAAATATCAACTTTAGCCTTCTCACGTTTCGTTCGTAAGAAATAAGCTAATGTTATACTCGCGTATCTTTGGGGGTAAACACAGGTTAGATGTGCCGTCTATGTATATACAATTGCAACAGAACAACTATTTTATTGCTGGTCTCATGCACCTTTCGAGCAGAAACAGGGTATTTTACATACCTTTCAAATACAATTACACAACTATTGCTCTTTGTGTACATTTTACAATTGACATACATACATAAGCATTGCTCTCTACGTATCATCTTACCACTGTCGGTCTTTACACAGTTCCAGACAGTGCTTCCCTTTACGTGTATTGCCATTACATACCTTTCCTGTATATAGGGAGTGTCTTGGTGGATGTAACCTCCTTCCACTGATCATCTGGTGTGAACGTCTTCGTGGCTTCTGAAACCATATTTCGGAATGTACACTTATCCGTCACCTTGTCCAGAAAATCTGTTTCTGTATTGGCTCCAAGGAACGGCGCTATCTCTCCCACGTGCGATCGAAGATCCTAAACCCATCAACATATAATATTTATGTATGGCACATTCCAATTGAAACATTTATACATATCTTATGCATTATTAGAATGTCAGAGTAATATTTATGAGTGATGTTGCATTTATTTACATACTGTACCTTCAATTATTAGTAATTTGCGTATGATATTTCCAAAAATAGCATAGCTTATCATTACCCAAACTTGAATCGAGAAACAATGGCGGACAAAGCGAAGTCGAACACATGCATGTATGGTATGCATGATATATGAATGTATACATCGATCAGGGCCTGTTCTTCTTGAGGAATCAGTATGTCACATTATTAAAGCGTAAACTGACACTGAAATGTTCGGAACCCATTCTTGCATCATTAATGGGATCGGTTTGTGGGGTATCTACAATATTGCATTAGCACAGTGTGAAATACAGGGCCCTCTGTGGCATGGTCTGAAAAGGTATGTTTTAGAAAAAAGTATGTATCAGGACAAATTTATGCCCCAAACTGCTTCTGTAGGCTTCGCTGTAGATGACTATGTATAAAAGAGAATCACAACGAATCACAGGAAAAAACACATTCCTTGTGCACGTGCACATGAACTAATATCAAGCTGCATATGCTTCATGACAGCTGTGTATTACTATTAACAGTTTACGCGATTTATTACGTCAACTTAACTCGCGCATACGTATACGCTTCACCTATTATATTCACAATTGACATGCTAAATGGTAATGTAGATAAGAAGTTATAAACCTGGATATCTGATAAGTGACGGTAAACAGAACAATCAATGATTGTCTCGCAAGCGATGTGAATTGGATAATACCAAATAATAAATAATACATCAAAAAAAGCGACCTTTTTCATGTCTTCGTAGATGAGATACATGATGTTGTCTCCCTTGTATTCCTTCTTCGTTTTGTCCCAAGCCTGTATATGGTCAAACCAGGAACCGTAGGTCACTAACGTAAAAACATGAAGAGACACATTTCTATAATTAATCACAAAGCACTATTCATGGACAAAACATGTAGGGTGACAATATAAGTTATCTCTAGTTTCGGAGGAGTCTACGGACTCATAGACCCCGTCTGGTCTATAACGATCAAAGGGGTAAATGAACCTGTATACCCCTCCTAACCAAGAGAAAACGAATTTGTCACCCTGACAATCTTTTACTACAATTTTTCTGCAAAATTATAAGTCACATTGTGAGTTTGAGTGGTAATATTATTTGATTGCTACCAAAATAGCCTCTATTAGACACCTTTTCGACAATATCTCGAATAATATACAACCACCTTTGTAATAAGCACCCTTAGCGGCCCCATCATTGCCTGTTTCGTTTGATTCGATGCCCTTTGAGATTGCTTGTAGGATATTTTATCTTGCAAGCCTCGAACGCTCAAGTGTGTCGTCATCATTGTTCTAGTTTGAGTTATCTCCCTTCGCACGTGCTTTTGTACACACCCCGGCAGCTAGAGTGACACAATAAGTTGTGTTCTTCAAGTGATAAATAGTTTCATTCTATTACGTTACAACAGTTACTCGACTCCTGAAGTTGATCTACTTAAATGTTAATAAGATGACAGCCTATTGTGAGAAATTACAGCTCAGTAAAAAAAATCACCTTTTCTGACAGTTTCTTTAATGATTATTTTTTCTTTTGTAGTTGTATATTACAATGGAAATTTCCTTTGTTGAGTGTGTTAAACATTTGATATAAAACATAAGAACTGACTACAAAACACGTGACATTAAACACGATGACTGGTGGATGATATACTGACCGAGTGTTGATATAACCCCTCTAACTTATCTATTGATAATCCCTACAAGTCTATATTTTCAGGTCTCTCTCGATTGTACTACATAAAGGTCAATCCTGTATCTGTACAGGTAGTGTAAAGCACCTTATTCTTGTAGATCCTCTGTCTGGACCGGTGTATTTTTAATAGGATCATCCCATAAATGGTCCCTGTATCCCTACTTGCCCTCTACTAACAAAATTGTAAAACCCATATTTTATTTCTTCTGCCTCTGTACAAATGATTCGACGACCCACATACTTCGCCTCTGTTTGTACTACGTTTCTATAACTTACATACACTTATATCATTAGGCCCCTGTGTTAATCACCATTACATTCGCTTTACTTACATAAACCCATGTCTAAGATGTCCGGCCCCTGTGTACTTGTATATATCAATTATATAATACTTCAAATTCCCCTACCGACCCCATCCAGTTTTCCCCGAAGTCTCTTGTACATGTATCCACAGTCAGTGTATACTAGCATTTGTCAGTAAGTCACGTATACGGCCTCTGTTGATATCATGCTATGAATCATATACGTGTTCTGTGATACTCATAAATTTTAGATAACAGGTTCCCATATACAAAATACAGCGACTCATATTTGCCCGACCCTAGACGTACTTGGGATTGCCGTGTGCTATGCAGCTGATTTAGTGATATGAACAAATATTTAACTTTGTTGGCATTAACGTAGATCATATATAAATAGCTGATATAAACTGCACGTGTCAATTAGATAACATCGCTAGCGTATGATACTTGAACTTTCATCTAGTCTACATATTTATGACAGGTCATACCGTGAACCCTTTGATAACGGCTGACAGGAATAAACGGTCATAGTCACTTGTTACAATAGGCTGTTACAGGCCTTACCGGACGAAATTAATTGTATATCCTACTGCACCAGTAGAATAAAATATGTCTCAGTCAAGAACCAACGGGACAGCATTTATGTCAAATTTAGGTAAATGAAGCTCAAGGTTATAGAAACAATTCTCAAAAACAAGATTTTAAGTAATAAAAATTTGACTGTTAGTAAATATACATGTATAAGCTACCGCACAAATCGTACGAGCGGCATTTCCCTTCAACATCTTTTTTATTATTGCTTACTCACCGAAGAGACATAATTGCATATAGTTTGTGTAGATTTTGATTATGTTGTTATTATCTAGCCAACATTTCATTCGTATATGACATTTTACAGGTTAACATAACTAGAAAATAATTTGAACAAGCAAATAATGTCACGGTAAAGAAGCCAAGATTCTTAAGAAGGACGTCATACATACTTTTCCCTTCCATGTAGAATTTCAGGAGCCCAGGCCAACTTGCGATGACGTCAGAATGATCAAGTTTTTTGATAAACTCATGGAGGGATGCAACTACATCCTTTGGGTTCCTAAATATAACCAGGATCTTTCCCTTCCCTTCCCTGGCTTGTCGAGGCAGGCGGTCAAAGATCATGTGAGTTGCAAATATTCGGGGGGATGGCATATTGTTCAGTTTCTCCATTTCATTGAAATCCAGAAACGTCGGCGAACCGTGGTATGAGGTATCTCCGGTACGTAACATTTTGGCTAAGGTAAACATCCAATGTGTTCCTGCAGGGAATACAAATAATACAGACTAACTGGGTTATTACCTACGGGGGATGTCTCAAATGACCCGTTTACGTCGAAATAGTTTGTTTGTCCCTTGAAGTTGATTAATACCGCGTAGTTATATCCTGAAATGTAGAACTGTGCTTGTGAAAACACAAGGTAAACACAAGGTAAACAAATGAACTTCCCTTCGCACACGAACAATACCATTGTCAATGAAGATAATGAAAGCAACATCATAACTTACCCATAGTCTTTATCTACGTATATCTCTGATTTGTGATCTATTTCGAAAATTGAAAATTTTCGGAGCAAGCATTTAAATACCGTATCAACTGCGATATATACACGTTGAAGTTTGTGTGAAATAGCGAAGTTACTATCAATAAAAGGAAAGTTCACGACAGAAAAATAAATCAAAATTGGCACATACAACTTTGTAGTTAACCATCCCTGTTGGTCCTTTTTCTAGGAAAGATCGAGTTAGCAGCTGCTGTAGAAGTGTCTGAGTTTAAGCAAATAAAAAGAAGTATTTTATATCGACTTTTTTCAGGCATTATATCTTGAATATCTCTTAAAGTTAGAGTGAATGACTTGGCAAGGTGTCTGATACCAGCCATGATAAGCTCTGCAATTAAATAAACAAAAACATGTCGGCCAGGAGAGGAGCATATTTTATTCTAATTTGAATATATGTAGTCTATTGGAAATCTTGCTCGTTGACTCGTGTCAACTTGTTACATGGTTCATGCAAATCTGAGGGTTTATTAAAGTCTCAGGTCTATGTAGCTAAACAAATGAAGCAATGACTTTCCTACTTGTTACGTAATTCTAAAATAATCATTGGAAATATGATTTAACGAAGAATCCATTTGATAAGGTATTAATGACGATGAAGGAAGTCTCAGGAATCAAACAAAGGCAAAAAACAAAGGGTCTTTTTCGGCTATTTAGAACTCGTCAGTGGTAACAATTTTACGGCCATAAAACATGTAATACATGTCCTTTTCAGGGATATTTTTCACATTGATACACAACCATGAATTATTATCATCGTTCAGCTTCTTTTGGACAGGGAAGCTTTAAAGACAGATACACGAAGGCGTTCTTTCAGATTGGTAAATAATGATTATAATAACTCGAGGTTCTTATATACCGTTTTATCACAAAATAGGTCTTACATGTAGGTCGTCTCAAAGCGGTTCACAAATTATCATCCGTGGTTATTGGGGAACAAAACGCTGGTGCTGCCATTTCGGCTTTCACAGCCAGCAGGTTGCAATTCCAGCACTGCTCAGCCACGTACTCATTTACAGCTGAGTAGACTGGAACACGCGGAATAAAGTATCTTGTTCAAGGATTCAACACAGTGCCGTGACGTGACGCACACCTTGGGTCACAAGCCTGGCGTCCTATCACTAGAATACCATGCCTCATAGGGAAAGGTGGTGGAAAAAATTATCAATATTAATCAAAGAATCTTTTGTCATCTTCCAAATTTACACTAAATTCATTCCATTTCTGGTGTATACCGTATCAAACTTAGAATGTAAGTTTTAATTTAATGGTGATAAGTATGGTATACGCATTGATAAAACGTTGTTTATATATATATATATATCCAGTTTCGGAATTTAGTATAAATAAGGTATGCCCTATCATTGTCATTAATTGGTTTTCGATATGATTGAAATAAAGAAGAATCACATGCTAGTCTCTAACAAAATGGAAGATCTATAATTAAAGTTTTCATAATCATTAAGACAACCCCTTTTTCAAGCAGTGTTTGTAGACAAGGGCCAAGTTATGAGAAATTATGTCTGTTGACAAAAAAGTAAAAACCACAGATCATCTAATACAGGGACTTTGATTAAAACAACAAGAGGCCCATCGGCCTTAACGGTCACCTGAGTCCTACAGTATACATTTTACTTGTTGAAATATGGAGTGGAGATAATGATGTCAATCATCCCTACCAAAACTTGAGTAAAAAATAGTTAAGTAAAGTTAGTCAGAACAATAAGTTGATCATTCCTAGACTGAGTTTCAGTTAAATAGGCCTATTAGAACTTGATCTTAAGTTTTAAATAGTTTTTTTCAAAATAGCGGCCGTAGCGGCCATATTTGATTTCTGATTGACTCGAAAAATAACAACACTTTGTCAGGACTATGAGTCGATCATTCCTACCAGGTTTCAATTAAATCGTCGCAGTAGAACTTGACTTTAAGCTTGAAATAGTTTTTCAAAATGGCGGCAGTGGCGGCCATATATGATTTTTAATCTCCCCGAAAAATAACTTAACTTGGTCAAGGAGTAGTCAGTAACATTCCCATGAACAATCAATGAAATCCCTTTAACAGTAATTCAACTTAAGTTGAAAGCTGACGGAAGACGACGGACGAAGACGGATAGCAAAGTGTAGGTCACTTGAGCTAAAGCTCAGGTGACCTTAAAATCCACACAGTGTTTAACTTTTGTGGTAGATATTTTACTGATTATTGTTCCTAGTATGCACACCACAGATAAACCTAGTCTGTAAGTGAACCCAGATTGGGATAACCTCAATTTGCTTATTTTCTGGTGTTAACTTAAACAGAAGCAATACGTGTCGTGCTATAAATAACATTTTTGATCATATATATTCATTGCCAGTTGAGTGTACTACATGGCCGGCAGAATCATACGAGTATAGACACGAAAACGGGAACAAGCTCAAGCTGGATATTTCAAGGTCATCTAAAATTTGCTGTTACAGTAGAACAACGTGGCAGTAACCCTATTGCATGCATAATATAAAGTAGTATAAACCTGTTGCAAATGTAGGTACATGTATTTGTGCACGTTTTCTATTAATGCACGTTAGCGCGTATGCTTTTAAACATAACGATTCTGATCAATGATCGTGTATGTACACACCGAGATTGATGTATATTTGCGTGAGCAATTTCAACAATTGTAAACTTAGCTAGCGGCTTTCTATTTATCTAGACCACGTCCTGTTTATATTAAAGATATGTGGAAAAACCAAAAGGTTAGCACAATAAGAGTTTTTCGTGGACTTGTCTACAAACCTGACTTAGGGTAAGAAATTACGAACGTATCATCCTCCCTGACAGCCATATCGTCTATAGCATCCAGATGATCTTTAACATTTCCGATGAAATGGCTAACGTAGTATTTCCCATCGTACTTCTTTGTTTTCAAAACGTTTCCATCCTCATCTCGTTCCTCGACCCATTCTGCCATTGTGTTTTTATGTATTCGAGCTTATTAGATTACTATTACATTCAACCCAACAGATAATACAAAATCGCCTTCACAGAGATAGTGGGTGAAGTCAATTAGGTCACATGTATATTATAACTGACGACGTCAATAGCAGGAGGTGTTGAAAGGTCAATGTATGATTTTACGATTAAGCTGCCAGATTATACTACTCAATCATAAGGACACGTCCTGAAATTGATTTACAGGGTGATGTGATAAAAACGATTGCGTTTAACCCAATACGGCATAATTTCTCCTAACTAACAAATTACAAAATTGTAACAAACTGTTGTCGATACCTCATGAATACCTATTTTATCTAACGGAATGATCAAAACGTTGACACACCCTGATGAAAATACGAAGGTTTCACCACAAACCTAACGAAGAATGTGACGTATTGTCCTATTGTTCTTATTTGCTTTTTTAAGACTATAATATTGTTTCATGCCCAGGGGTGTATGATAGAGAAATTCCATCAGATGGGTTTTCAAATTGGGTAACTTTGAGAATCCCGAAGGTAGAGTTTCTTTATGCTACACCGCTGTGTATGAAGGGATATTTTTACATCGCATTCCAGCTATTAAAATAAGCTTGGAAAACCCTGAAAATGCGTTAGGACTGGCTACTATTTTGAATAAATCAACTTTTTTCTTTAGCCTTATTGACAATAACGAATTAAGATTAAGCATACTCCGTATTTGCAAACATAGTTTTCACAGAAAAATAATCTCAACTTTCTAACTTGTACGATCTACTGCTAGTTTATCATATCTAGCCTTTATCTATTACAACGGAAATCTCGATTAGAATAGTTTATCTTCTCAGATCGTTTCATTCCATTTCGTTTTCAATCATTCCTCGCGTTTCGTTTCGCCTAATTTCAATCCATTCCGTTCCTGTGAGAAAAGCATGTTTCGTTCCGTCTTATTCGCGTTTCGTTCCAAACAGTGAACATATTTTCGTTCCGTTTCGTTAATGCCATGTTTCAATGCGTTTTCATTCCATTCCGTTTGTCAACTGAAACGCTGACACACCAGTACGAGGAGTACATCAATCCATATTAATTGTGCACAATACAGTAGATTTAACGCACTAATTGCAATGTAAAAGAGAGTTTATTAATTCTTAAACCTACGCTAAGGGATCGAACTCTGTTCAGGATCACGTGCTTGCTAGTATGGTGCTCCGCTGTTGAAGCCGAGGAGAACGTTTGGTTTGATGGTATAGGGTAAAGTTTTATTTACAGTTAAGGTCCTATGGGTTGTGTAACTTTGTGTTAATGTACAAGTGTGAGAGCATATATGTATGTATGTGTGTTGTAGGCAAACGGACAAAAGCGCGGCATTACCCGGCGAGGTATAATGAAACAAGACTGTTTATAGGATCCTGAAATGTCCTGTAGCAGATTACACCGTAAATAAACGATTATGCAGGAATTCTGATGTTGATTTTCGAACTTCTAATTTTTAAAACGAAACACCCATTTCTGGAACTGAATCCAACTCATCATACTCTAGTTTTGCCAGTGATCTGGTGCAATCGTCAACAACAACAATCAGTATTTCAAACACATGTAGCTATACGTTTTTACTATTCTTTTATTGCTAGTGCCAACGTGTTCGTCTGAACTTATGTTTGTGAGAGTAACGTCAATACTTTTTGAGAAACGACGTAATTGTCTCACATAAACCAATGACGTAACAAGCAATACCTGCTCATAAGAGTAGATAACTCTGCAATACGCAAAGACGGAATAAACCTGCTGCAAATGAATGTTAGTGTGCACGATTGTATAATACTGTAAGTAATTGCGTATGCTACATAAGACATATGACGTAAGGATCGAGATTAATCTTTATGATTGTGAGTAATGTCATCGATTATAAATGTAACCGCTCGCTATTGATTCATCTAGACCACGATCTGTATATATCAAATATCTATGAAATGAAGAAAAATTAATAAACAACAACGTTTCGTTAACTCGACAACAAACCTGACTTAGGGTAGGACATTATGAACGTATCATCATCCCTGACAGCCATATCGTCTATTGCAGCCAGATGATCTTTAACATTTCCAATGAAATGGCTGACGTAGTATTTCCCATCGTACTTCTTTGTTTGTAAAAGGTTTCCATCCTCGTCTCGTACCTCAACTGATTCTGCCATCGTCTTATTACAACACGTATTCGAGTCTTCAGGCTACTAATACAACTAACCCTAGTAGATAACATGTAGGGGAAATGACCTTGTAACATTTTAGTGAGCGACGCACCGATTGGCTGGCATAATAATGGCACTAGGAAGTGATCTAGCACGCGCTATCACAAGGAGGCAAGTACACAAACATGTCCTGTCTCCAGCACACCAATACACATACACGCATGTGCATCCACAACATACACGAAGGCACGTCCTTAAATTACACTGGCTGTTAATAGGATGTTAAACGTAATAAACCAAACCAAACCAAATTTAATGAAAAATTGCTTATTGATATTTAAACTTATACGGTTTAATACGCTTACGTTAAATTTTAAAGGAGGTCTTTTTCGGGGAATACAATTGTTCTTAAAAAGCAACGTTTAGAAATGTTTTACATGTATGCAAAAATACTCAGTCGAATGATGGATAAGCCGTAATGATTTTTGTCATTTAGGGCATTGCACTACTTAACTTGTGTACATGGAACGGATATATACATGTAAATACGGTGAAGTATATAGTCCACCATTGTTACTGTACACTGCGCCATTTTGGTGATTAACATATTTTTAAATTACACGAGGCTTGTGTAAATGGAGTTTGCATGCTTACCGTGAATATAGAACTCTATGAGTGAAATTATATAAGATTATTTGATTTTTGAGGTTTTCTCTTACAATAGTTGGTACATAATTTGGTTGACGTATAATTACATGTTTTTGTCCATGCTAATACATTCGATTGATGTTTCAGACAAGCCATTCCTTATTCTTATATATTTAAATTTCGTTCGACCTTATTCCCGGTGTCCCGTTATATTTGAACCCGTTTGACCTTATTCTCGGTGTCCTGTTATATTTTTTTCGTTCGACCTTCTTATCGCGTTCGATCTTATTCCCGTTGTCCCGGTATCGGCGTTAGAACAAGTTGTACCTTACTATATGTGTCGTAAAAGGGCGCCTCGTAAAAGGCGACTAATGTTAGGCCCCCCTCCCCGCAGAATCAAAGTCTTTCGTCTGAGTCTTCTTCTAAGAGGACACCGAGGAAACCAGCATTGATCTGCTGCCCCGATTGCAACATTTGAAATCTAATAATATTCTCTCTACTTTATAAAAAAAAAAAATGTTTCGTAGGGTCGTGCTTCATAATACCTCACGTTTGGCTTTAGTCTTAGTGTTGCGCGATCGCTCAAGTGGAGAAGGCAATGGGTTCTGCCCATAGGCTAGGAAATACAAAAGTCCTTTGAAAAGGTAAGTGTTACTCTCCTAAGAACGTTCAGCATTTAGGGGAATGGCAACAACTGGTCTACATGTTGTCAGTTAAATGTGACCGGTTGAAATAATGTGCTTCCGGCATGATGTTTCAGTGTCGAAGCACTCTAAAGTCGACATCAGATCCGCCTTATTGCAAGGAGGCAAATGCATCAACATACCCTGCTTCTAGCACATAAGCACACAATAGCGCATACATTACACACATATAGAAGCACGTCCTTAAATGACATTAGCTATTAAGGATGTACTCCTCCGAGATGAAAAAAACAAATCATGTTTTAATTTTTTTCCCCGTGTATTCATTTTTGGAAATATATATATATATATATGTCCGAGTGTTCGTATTGGTGATATGATCGGTCAAAGATACCAACTAAACAGTATATTTGATTCCAGGTGATTTTGTTGGTTTTGACCAGTTGACGAAAAAAAATTACATGTACAATATCTTCCAGCTGTGTTATCAAACATGTATGAATGTTTGCAAGATTGATAAAAATAGTATTCTCTTTTAAAAAAGGAGGACAAAATTAATTCTTAAAGTTATCAATTTTATTCAGAAATGCGATTTAAGTTTTAACCCTTCCCTTTATTTTTTAAACATTGTTTGTAGATTTAACGCTTGATATAAGCAGTTCTGCTATTGAACTTTTTTAATATTTAATGAATCAAAAGAAAATGTGTTTCTCTTTCAAAAACAGCCACATAAATGATGGGGTCCGTGTGCTTCGTTTTTTTTTCCTGTTATTTTTCTGTTATTTTTGTGTTATTTTTCATCCTTTTTGAGGTCAACAATCAAACGTTACTCTTAATATGTAAATATTGTAGATCACAATACTGGTTATTTCACAACGGACTATAAATTCATGTATCTGAATGTCGCCACATGTAATAAGTTTCATTTGTATACATACATGTATAAAGTTACGGTATTATAGTCATGTTGGGTTAAAATCGGCCATGATGTCTAATGTGTGATATTGAAGAAAGGAATATCTGAAATAATATGGCCAAAAATCAGTATACTTGCCGAAACTCAGCTGTGACAGATAGTTGACAAGTATACCCGCCCGCTTTGCCAAGATTATTACTTATTGTGCACAGTTATTGTGTGAAGTTGGTACGGTATGCACCTTTATGTAAATAATGCAACTTGAGGTAAAAGTCATCGAGGCGCTTAAAAATCGTGGCCGATATAAGCGCCGGTGTGATCTACCGCTTCATCTTATCATGACATAGCGTGTTCGACCGGACTGTTTGAGGTAAAATTTGTTTTATTGCCTATCCACAATGAGTAGAACTTTGGTAAGAAGTATTTATACGTTGTAGATTATTCTATTGCTGATGACGTGAATGCATAAAGGTAATTTTTGCTGGAAACGTTTGCTAGCAACGCAGACCTTCATATCCGGTACCATATGCGCAGTGGCTTTTTGCGCATTACGGAAACAGAACACAGATACACAGAGTGAGACAAATTAAATAGTGCGATCGGTCGGCTCGCACTAAAATATTAATAATGTACCATTTTGGCATTTTCCACTTTGTTGCATAATACTTTAACATTATAAAGTTGTACAGCAAAAAATACCAGTCTACAATTATAAA